GAAGTGAGTCTAGTGACCACAGGGCCATGGCCACGTCCCCTCCCCCTTCTTTCCCAAGGTGGCTTTGGCAGGTGCACGAAAATCACATGACAAACCCCCCCCCCCAGCCACATAGTCCGACATGGGCTTCCGCTTCCTGTTGAGGAGGGGACATCCCGAGCTAGTGACTCACCCCTGGGCTGCGTTCATAAAGGCGTAGCCCGCGTTCCTTTTTCTTTGTCGGCTTCCTGGTCCCTGCGGGGGACGAGCCTCCTTGTATGGCGCCCGGACGGGGCACGTGGCCCCTTCTCTCGGGAACTGTAAGTGATCGATTCTGTTTCCAGGCACCTCTCCCTGTCCTCACCCAGGCACCTCTGTACATTCAAATCCTGTGGGTTTGCCTGGGACAAGGAGGCCTTTCTGTGCTCTCTATAAAATACGCGTATTGGAGCTGAGCGGGACCTTGGGGACCCTTCGCCCAAGGGAGGGGCGCAGAAAGGGCCACCGGGCAGCCAAGGGGCGCAGCCCCTGGCCGGGCGCCCGGTGAGGACCGCGCTGGGGAGGCCGGAAAAACCCCGCCCGCTCCTCCGTCACTGCGTCAGCCTCTCCCTCAATTGATCTCTTCGTGTGTCTCTGATCCCTGACGGTTCTCTCCACGCGAGCCATGCCTCATCTGGGTTTGCCTTGTTCCTCCGGCGAGAACCAGGCGAGGTGTCCTCCCACTGGCCCTGTTTGAAACGTACCTCACGCCGAAAAATGGCCGTGGCGGGGTTCTGGAGACATCGGGGTTGTGCTATTTTTGGAAAGGGTGCCGCCTGAGAACCCTCGTGAGACTTCTAAGCCCACTTCGCTGTGGTGCAGTGTTGCGGGGGGAGGGCACGGAGGCGGGGCGGCTGGGCACGGGCCAGCTGTGTGCCCCCGGGGCAAGCCCTGGGCTGTGCTGTGACTCTGTGTCCCCGTCGGTAACATGGATTTGGGAAGACGGACTCACAGGCAGTGGCCCCCTCTCTGAGAAAACTCCGCAAAACCCTCCGTACAGCCGTGGCCAGGGAGCTCCTACCTGCCATGCCCTACACCACACGGTTGTAGGTTCGATTCCTGGGCAGGGCACACGCCCAGGGTGCGGGTGTGACCCTCAGTGGGGGCGTGTATGCGAGGCACTGGATGGATGTTGCCCTGTCTCTGAAACCCACCCCCATATCCCCGAGGGAGAATTAAAGGGTTGCAGGAGCAGGCGCGCACAGCACTGAGTATCCTAACCTTGCCGCTGTTGTTATTACTACCCAATAACATCGTCGTTTTTTATTCCGGCACACACGGGTGCCCGAGAGCCTCTTGGGTGTTCTGAGACTATCGCTTGTACGACCGTCGTCTTGCTGTGAAACCTGTTTCCCTGCTATTCCACTGTGGCACCTACATCCTGGCTTCTCTCCTTGCTCTCCGGGTGTTATTGGGAAAGCCGTAGGACTCGGTTTGATCCCTGTCTCCTCGCCCTCGGTGTAGACCGGCCTCGCCGGTCTGGGTTAGGGGCCCGCTTAACCGGTCGGGACGGGCGGCGGACAGCGGGGGTCGGGGGGGCGCTCGAGACGGGGGGTGCTCTGCGTGGTGTGCAGTGATTGCGAACGGGCCTCCTGCCTTCCAGGGCCCTCTGTCTTCCCAGAAGCCGGAGACGTCCGTGAATACAGGGAATGGTGTTTGCAGGGCGGCGGCGGCGCAGTCCCGTCGGTCAGTCAGTCGGTCGGAGAGCGGGGAAGCAGAGGCGGCTTCCGTGCAGGGCGGGGCCCGCGGGGGAGGAGGGGAGTCCGGCAGCAGGCTTCTCCATCCTCGGGGAGTCCTGGGGATGGTCGCAGAGGTAGCGCAGGGGTCGGAAGTAGGTCCCTCCCCCGTGCGATGCCAGAAGCACAAGCAAACACATGCGTACACACACCGTGGGGACCACCAAAAATGTTCCCGGGTATGGAAGCGCGTCCCCCTCTGGGGGACAGGATCGCCCTGGCTTGAGAGCCAGGAACCACTGTTCTAGGCCAAGAGACCAGACTAGGCAGAGGCAGCTCCAGGGCGCAGGCCGGGGCCTGTAGCAAGGGCACCCTGGGGCGGTGGGGGCGGGGCAGCCAGAGCGAGCGCCAGGGCTTACAGCGGGGGATGGGAGGCGCTCAGGGCCCAGCTCCGGCGAAGACTGTGGCCCAGGCCCCGGACTGATTTTGAGAAGGCGCTTCCTAGGCTTCTAGTGGCAAATCGGGGTCCGTGGCAGTTTTGTGTTAGGCAGAGCAGCGTCGTAAAGCTCGTCCGCTGCTGCTGCTGCTGCCGCTGCTGCTGCCGCCGCCGCCAGTGTTAGCGGACAGCGTGGAAGAAGAGCGTCCTCGCGCCTTTGGCCCGCTAGAAGAAAGGACCTGTAGACCCAGTGGGGGCCACAGGAACTGTCTGGGTCCTTCATCCACGCGCGGATGTCATGCTGGGAGACCAGTCTCCTCCGAAGGGCCCCATCCCCTCATACCATCACCCTAGGGGGTCACTTTCCACGTGGAGGGATCGTTTCCCTCTCCCAGCGTTGTTTGTGTCTCCACTCTCTGTCTCTGTCTCTTTCTCTCTTTGTCTTCCTGTCTCTAAAAGCAATAAAAAAAGAGTCCTCATGTGAGGATCAGAAAACATAATAATAAAAAGGGAACAGGCCCAAAGGGCCCCGGTGTGGTTCAAGACGACCCCAGGGTCCGAGCCTGCCCTGGTCCGTGGGCCTTGAGTAGCCATTCTGTGGAGCGGCCTGGCTTGTGGGGCTGCGTGAAGGAGCGAGTCAGTGCCCTGCACGGCCTTGGACTGCGTGGGGGACCCCCGGGTTTGGAGGTTGAAACCCAGCCCCCAGTGGGACGGGACTAAGAGGTGTCTGCCCCGCAGTCCCCGAGATGTATGTGTCGGGAGCCGCCGTCACCCGCGGGTGCGGTGCCAGGACGGGGGCGGTCGGGGGAGGTTCGCGGGCGCCGAGTCCCTGGGGCCTGTGCCTTGCCCGGGGGGCTCTCGGGGCGTGACGTGGGGGTGGCAGAGAAGGCCGCGAGGAGATGCCTGCGCAGGGTGATGGGCGGCTGGATCGGGCGCAGTGACCTTCTCGGGCGATGGCTGGCGGAGAGCAGGCGCCGCCGCAGGGCCGGCCGGCCTGGTATTTCCTGGACCTGGACCCGCCCTTGACCTTTGACGCAACAGCAGGGTAAGCAGCGGCCCTCGCCCGCCAGTGCTCTGTCCTGTCGGCCTGTCCAGACATGACTGGAGAGAGGGCAGGAGCTGGTGACGGGGGCCATCAGCCATGAACAACGGCGGGTTCCCAGGGGGAAGATGACCGCCTTGCGCGATGAAAGCTTGCAGGTGAGACGCAGAGCGCTCGGCAGCGGGCCGGGGCGGGGTCCCTGCTGAACACAGGACAGGGGGGATCGGGGTGGGGGGCGGAGAGAGAAAAGGCGAAGGCGAAGGCACAGCCCATTATAAAGGGCCTTTGCTCCCGCCCTCGGACAGCCGGGCGGAGGGGCCCTGTGGGGACAGGGCCTCACGGGGGTCCCCCGCCACCGTCCCTGGGGTAGTGACGCTTCTGTGAAGCAGTGGACGACCTCGCTGCAGCCAAGAGTGGAGTGAAGAACCGTGGCCTTATTTCTTCTCGGGGAAATGCAGACGCTGCGCACGGCATCGGTTCTTGACGATCCAGCAGCAGGAAATGAACCGGGCGGGCTGGGAGGAGGGAGGGAAGCGCAGAATCCTCCTCCGTGGAGGGACACCCCCACCTGCTGAGCGTTTGCGTGACTGCAGAGCCTGCCTGTCTGTGGTCGCACAGGCCGCGGCCGATGATGACGAGAATCGTGCTGTGTGTGACGGAGGCTGGTGTTTCGCGGCCCCTGTTTGGCGGAGGGAGGTGGCGTTCTGGCCACGTGGCTGGGGCGGGAGGCAGGGTGCAGACCCCAGGGCCCGTGACGCCCCGCGGCACGGAGGATGAACCAGGCCAATGGGGACGTGCTTATCAGAAAGACACCTTGGCCGTAGGGTTCCCGGGGCCCCGCCCAAGAACAAGAGGGCATCACGCCGCGCTGGTAATGCCAATAAAGGCCGACAGGGCCCGGCCGTGTGGAACCGCCGAATTCCGCGCCGGCACGCCGGGGCTGCTGTCCGTGGTGGGCGCAGCGTCCCAGCCACGGGGGCCCTGTGCTTGCCCCCAGAGCTCCTCGTTTCTCCTGCTTTGCCCCCTGGGTGCCGACTCGAAAGCGAGGCAGGTCACGGCCACCGTGGGGATGCCCTGGGCCGCGCCCACAAGGGCCGCAGGCTCCCGCGCCCCCCGCCCCGGCTGTCTTGGGACCACCGGGGGTCGTCACTCCACCGCTGGAGTGGGTTGCCTGTGTGCAGAGCGCTGCTGCGCGGCCCACGCGTCCAGCAGTGGCAGCCGCCTTCCTCTCCTTGAGGAATGTCATGGCAGGTTCCGATCGCTGCCCGTGGACCCCCCATGGGAGCCCCATCCCCCGGCTCCTCCTTCCCTGCCCTGTGCAGCGCCCTCCGTTTCAGAAACGGCATTGTGTGTGCGTGCGGGGACTGCCCTCCTCTCTCCCGGTGCGTGTTTCTGTCCCCACCGCACGCGAGCCCTGGGAATTGCTACGCGTGGTCTTCAGCAGCAGCTTGCTGTGCAGGCCATCGATGGGCGCGGATGCAGGTGGGGCGGGGCGGGGCAGCACCTCCTAGCTTTTCAGTAAGCCGAGGCGACTGTCCAGCCGCTCTGTGTCCGGCTGCGGCCCGATCCGGTGCGCGCCGCAGCGGGGTCTGGGACACCCTGGCCCGCAGGTGCAGAGCTTGCGGGAGCCGCGCCGACTCTGCCCTCTCTTTGCTGTTCGTAATGCTGAGGTGACTGCCCCCTGAGGCAGTGTCTCCACGCTCTGCAAACATGGGTCTCCCGGGGCCTGCATCTCCTCGCCCGCCTGCTTCCCTGCCGCCGCCCGAATCCGACGCCGGCGGCGGGCGGGTGCCGCGCCTCACCGCCCGCCTTCCCTGTCCGGCTGCAGGCTTTTCCCACTCGGCGTTCACGTTCGGCATCGAGAGCCACATCAGCCAGTCCAACATCAACGGGACGCTCGTGCCGCCCGCCGCGCTCATCTCCATCCTGCAGAAGGGGCTGCAGTATGTGGAGGCCGAGATCAGCATCAACGAGGTACGTGCAGCCGGGCGGGCGCACACCCGGCCCCACGCCGCTGGGGAGAGACCGGGCAGGCCCGCAGCGCCCGTCCTGCGCGCCGGGCCCTGAGGTCTCCCCCGGGGCGGGGCAGTGCTTGGCGTGGCGTCCGCCCTGTGCTGGATGAGGGACGCCGTGCTGCGGCTCGGCACGGGGTGAGATTTCAGAGCCCCTTCGACGCGCGTGTTTTCCACATACACACACGATCGCCAGCTGCTGACCCGGCACACGTGTGTCCCCCCTTCTGCACACACACGGCACGTCCTCAGCGGCGTGACGCCTCGGGGCGGGTGTTTGTCGTGCACGAAGGATGCACCCCCTCTCCGACCGGGCCGCGTGCAGAGGCACCCCAGACGCGTTCCAGTGGCATCTGTCTGTGAGCGAACCCGGCAGGGGCGCCCAGGGACCCTGGGGAGGAGAGAGGTGACACGCTGTGCTCTCGCGCATTCCAGTGCCGGCCCGATGACGCTGCTCCTTGGACAGCGGACGGGGCTGGGGCCGCAGCTGTGAACGAACGTGGGTCCGTTGGCGCGTGTCCCCTCCCTCTTTTTAGATTGTGCTCACGGCGAAGTTAGGCCCATGTTACACTAGTGAGTGAGCACCTTCGATATGGAATAAGGTAGAAGCATTCACATGTCCCTAGTGTTCCCACTCGCCGGGTCCCCCACGGAGGACCGTAACGCGTTACCCCTGTCCTGCACGGGTGCTCAGGGCACCGGCCTTGGCCCACCCTGCCTGCCGTGGGCGCCCTTGGCCGGGCCTTGGGCTCCCGCGTACCTGCCTCTCTGCGCCTCGGCCCCATGCTGGCTGGCCTGCCTGCCACGCAGAAGGCCTGTGCTGGGAGCTCTGGGCTGACGGCTGTCCCCCGGCTTTCTCCCCAGGATGGCACGGTGTTTGACGGCCGTCCCATAGAGTCCCTGTCCCTGATCGACGCTGTGATGCCCGACGTGGTGCAGACGCGGCAGCAGGCCTTCCGGGAGAAGCTCGCTCAGCAGCAGGCCAGCGCGGCGGCGGCGGCAGCAGCGGCGGCGGCGGCGGCAGCTACCACAGCCACGGCCGCCACAGCGGCGCCGGCCAGTGTTTCCCAGCCCAACCCACCAAAGAATGGAGACGCCACAGTGAACGGGGAAGAGAACGGAGCACTCGCAATAAGTAAGCGTGGGGCCCGGCACTTCCCAGCTCCTCGCGTCTCTCTCGCCGGAGTCCATAGGCTCCATCAGCATCTCCACCCTGCACGTGTCTTCTCAGTCGCTTCCTAGTGGTTTCTGACCCTTCGGTCAGAAGGGCTTCACGCCCTCGCCTTTCCCCGGAGCCGTTAGGCACCACATCCTTGGCTGACGCAGCCTCAGTTTTAGGATATGGTGTAACGGAGACGCCCCGGGAGAGCGCCCTCTGACGTGCAGTGCCCCCTTGTGGAGGCCCATCCCCCCGCCGGCCGCACGCAGGGCTTCCCACCAAATCCTGGCCTCCCGGTCGAGCTCCGGGTTTCTGAGTGGGCGCCAGGCCCCGGACCGTGGGCGCTGGCTCGCGTGGTCTCAGCAAATCCCCGTCAGGTTCGTCCCTGTGAGGTGGTGGCCCGAAAGGATGTGGCAGATAGGTCCGAGAGCTGGAATTTTTACCCAGAGAACCTGTCTGCTCCGTCATGTGCTGCTGATAAATTCCAAGAGACGGCGTCAGGGTCTGAGCTCACCGGGTGCACGGGCTGTGTGCGTGCGCGCGTGAGTGTGTGTATTGTGCGTGTGGTTGCATGCACGTGTGCATGTACATCATCTGTGGGGGGGTGGATGCGCGTGCATATCGTGTATGCGGCACGTGTGTGCGTGTGAGTCCATGCATGTGTGCACGTGTGACATCTGAGAAAGGTGCTCCCAGGTGAAACGCGTCCTGTCGAGAGAACAGGAACGTCATGCCTGGGCTGGAGCGGCTGGCTGGCTGTTGTCACCGCTGTCCCCTCTTGTTCAGTGGTTGTTAGACATCGGCTTGTGCCTGCTTATGAAGAATAAATAGCTGTTTTTATTCCCTGTGAAGTCGTGGCAGAAACAGCACGGACAGGGCGGGGCAAACGTAGGTCGACGGTGTGGAAAACAGTACAGCGATATTAAAAACAATACAACAACAATACCGTAGGCCGCGCGGTAGCCCTCCTTCTGCCCCGCCCTGCACTTAGTAAAGAACGTGACGTGGTTACTGAAGGACAGAAGCCACGGGGTGGCTGTCGTCCTCAGAGGTGACACCGCAGGCAAAGTAGCCGTGTGTCAAACGGAGCCGCCAGGTGGCGACGTGGCCCACGGCGCTGAACCCCATGTCTGTCCCGGTTCCTCCCGCAGATAATCATTCCAAACCGATGGAAATAGACGGGGACGTCGAGATCCCCCCCAGCAAAGCCACGGTCCTGCGGGGCCACGAGTCGGAGGTGTTCATCTGCGCCTGGAACCCCGTCAGCGACCTGCTCGCTTCCGGGTGAGGACGTCCGGCCCACGTCCGCCTCTCGCTGCCCCGCGCGCTGCCTCTCACCCGCTGGGGCCCCTTCCGCGTGGGCAGAGCAGGGCCCGGGACCCCCTGGGCTGACTGCCCTCCTTCGGGTCCTTCCGAATGTGGCCGAAGTGCGGAGAAGTCCGCCTGCTCAGCCGTTTCCTGCCTGGGGTGGGGACTGATGTGGCATTTGAAAGTACTCCGAGCAGCAAAGGCGCTGAGGAGGAAAAACAGAAAAACCACCACGCATGGGATTGGATTTATGGGGGGCCCCGTTCCCATGGGTCTCTCATAGTGCCCCATGCCAGAGCAACCTGTGGCCGCGAACCATGGCCTGGCCTCCGCCCGTAGGCCGCAGGCCCTGAAGCAGGTTACACAGCGAAAAAAGTAAAATTAAAAAAAAAAACAAAACCTACGCCGCGGGTTGGCGCTCCGAAAGCTGAGCGTCGCGTGTTTCCTCCTGCAGATCCGGAGATTCGACGGCACGGATATGGAACCTGAACGAAAACAGCAACGGGGCGTCCACGCAGCTGGTGCTGAGGCACTGTATCCGGGAAGGGGGCCATGACGTCCCCAGCAACAAAGACGTGACCTCGCTGGACTGGAACGTAAGCACCTCCCCGACACGAGCACTCAGCACGTCGTGCTGGGCTGGACGTGGAGGGGCCTGCTCGGTTCCAGCACCAGCGCACGTCCCTGAGCCTCCAAGAAAAGCCGCCTGCGCCCCGGTATTTCCATCGTGGGTGTCAGGAGCACACGTCCGTGTGGGAGTCCCCACTCGCCATACCTTCTTTGGGCTGCCCCGTTCTTTGTAGTGTTTCTGCCCGTTCCTTCCCTTCACCGCAGACTCCGTTCTTTCCTACACGCAAGCGTGTTGTTCAGAGCGCACTGGAGTCTCTGGAGTCTGATTGTAACTTTTCGGGCGGCCCTTTTAATTATGTCACCGGGGTGTACGGTGGCAGCGTGTTTTGCATGCTACCTCCCTTCCGTGGGGGCCAGTGATGGACGCTGGCAGAGCATTCTGACCCTGGGCTGGCGGTTTCTCTTCGCTTTGGCAGAATGGCCTTTACGCCCTGGCTGGTGTGGCCCAGCGGACGGAGCGCTGGCCTGCGAGCCAAAGGGTCGCCGGTTCGATTCCCCGTCAGCGCACGTGCCTGGGTGGTGGGCCAGGTCCCCAGGAGGGGGCGCATGAGAGGCCACCACGCGTAGATGTTTCTCTCCTCTTTCTCCCTCCTTTCCCCCCTCTCTCTAAAAAGATAGAAAATGTTTTGGGTTTTTTTTTTAAAGAACTGCCTTTCCTAAGCTGTTTCTGTTGGCTCCTTTCTGGCCCGCAGAGCGACGGGACACTGTTGGCCACGGGTTCCTACGACGGCTTCGCAAGAATCTGGACGGAAGATGGTGAGTCCGCCTCCCTGCAGGCGGGGCCGCGGAGGAGGTGCTGGGGCGTGGGGCGCATGGCCAGCGGGGCCCTGACTTGGCACTCAGCGGCCTGGGGTTCTTTTGCTTACACGACAGGTAACCTGGCCAGCACCTTAGGCCAACACAAAGGGCCCATCTTTGCCTTGAAGTGGAACAAGAAGGGGAATTACATTTTGAGCGCTGGTGTGGACAAAGTGAGTATTGCCGTGAAACACCCCTTTGATCTACGGATGCTCATGGGTTTTGAATCTCTAGGTAGCGTCGTCGTCTCGTTGAATTCTAAGGCTTCCTGCTTCCCCTTAAGAAGTCAGGGCGACGCGCGTAGAGTCGGCTGGTTCTCCTGGCCGTGGCCTTCCTGGTTCGGTCGCACGCCCTCTCTTACTCGGTTCTGCCGCCCTGCCGACCTTGGTGCAACGCGCCCCGCCGTCGATGGGCGCGCATCGTTCAGTGTCAGCCTTCGGAGCCCAAACAATTCACCCGCTGGCCCTCGGCAAAAAGGAGCTTGCCGAACCCCACGCTAACGTGGAGCCCGCGAGGGCCGTGAGCTGTGCGTTCTTTCACCGTCTGAAGCAAGAAAGCTCATGTTCACACTTGGCAGCCTCGCGTTGCGCAGAAAAAGCCGAGAAGCCGTGGCCGGCACGCCGGAGGCTGTCAGGAAACGACCGCCGAATCGTCCCCGAAACGCTCTAATTCAGACGTCACACGCACCGCGCTCTGTCTTGTGCGTGGCCGCCCGTCGGTAGTACGGATGGAGTTATTAAGATCATAGGTGCGAGCCATCGCTAACCTTTCATGGGCACTTTGCGTGTGTGGGCGCAGTCGGTGCCCCGAAACAGGAGGCGGCCACGGAGATCGTGGATCCCAGGGGACAGCCTACGGACCCGCCTAGGGACACGCGGGGGCGGAGCGGGCTTGGGGTGGGCGTCGGGCCCGACCCAGCCGGTACTTGCTGCCCTCTCACCAAATTCTGGCGAGGTCTTGCAGTCCTCACCTCCTCAGGGCCGCCGGCTGTGTTTTATATTTCTTCTGCTTTTCTAGCTGGTTGTCAGTTTTCAGCACCAGCTGAGGAGCTATTGGTCAGTGAAAACGCATGCTTGAAATTCTCTCCATCTGTGGGCCTCACTCTGTCTGCCGGTATTGATCCACTGTATCACAGTAATACTCCTGGTCTAGAAAGTAATACCTGGGAAGGAAGTATAATTTACACAGATGCTGGCGTTGACCTTCAGTGCATGCTTGGCCCCAAGGGGCTGAAGTGTCCCTATATTTCAGATTCTGGAAAGCTCTTGGATAATTAACGTTTTCTTTGGTCCAGGGTATATGTAATATAAACATCCACAAAATACTACGATTGCTGATGTGGTAGTATGTGAAATGGCATCAGAACTGTGAGGTGATATAGTCTCTGCAGTGCCCGATGTGTTTGCACGTAAACTAAGACACGTGTACAACCCACCGAGCAAATGAACAAAAGATGTTAATTGGCCTAGAGCTGACCCAAAACATAGACAACAGGTTTCCAGAGATATTCACAGTTTTCTCTGAAATTTTCAGCAGTCAACACAACTTGTAAGCAGTTCTTTAAACAAGAGCTTTGTTGTCAGTGACAGGGAGCCGTACAGGTTCCTATGAGGCTGAAAGTTCCCATTGATTAAGACGGAACTCACTGAGCCCCGGCTGGTGTGGCTCAGTGGACCGAGTGCCGGCCTGCGAACCGAAGGGTCACCGGTTCGATTCCCAGTCAGGGCACGTGCCTGGGTTGCGGGCCAGGTACCCCAGTAGAGGGTGCGCGAGAGGCAGCCACACATGGATGTTTCTCTCCCTTCTCCTCTCTAAAAATAAATAAATGAAATATTTTTTAAAAGAAAAAAAAAATGTAAGTCACTGAGCTGTGAGCTGCCCCTGGCCCATCGGAACCCATGAATGACCTTGTTTTGGGGGAGACGGCGGTTTCCCCCTTATTTACAGACCAGTACGTGGGCGCCTCACCCAGTGTAACTCCGTTGCATCGTTCTGGGTAGTTGCCGAGGTTCAGGCGGTGACGGGAATTTGCAGGAATGCCCGCTTTGTTTGGAAAAGGGCCAGGAACACAGGCAAGCGTCATTCGAGGTTTTTCAACCTGTAATGGGGCGGGGGGGTCCCCACCCATTTTGGTCGTGTTCCAACGATCCGCGAGGACTGCCGTGTCTTGTGGCGTTGCCACCGACACACATGGCTATCGATATTGTTACATACAAAACACAGCCCATTCCACAGACCTAGAAGAGGATGCCATGTTTCTTGTAAACAGATGTGTGTATCAGTTGCATGTAGAAACAGGAATCCCTCGGCCATGCTGGAGTGAGAGAACATGTGTCACTGAAAGGAGTCGTAACAGTCTCTCTTTCTCTTTTGTTCGAGTGCTTAGTAGAAAACAAAATTGCCTGCGAGGCTGGCCGGCGTTCTCTCTCTGTTGCACAGCGCCGGTTCCCGGGCAAGGCCGCGCGCTGCCTTTTCTCGCACGATCAGGTTTTCTCGAGGAAACGCGGCGAGAAGGGCGGTGACTAACGTGTTGTCTTTGTTTGCGGAGCACAGACAACCATCATTTGGGACGCCCACACAGGAGAAGCCAAACAGCAGTTTCCGTTCCATTCGGGTGAGTCTGCTGTTTCTGTTTTGTCATTCGAACGTGTTAATGAGAATTCAGAACCTGGCGGAACCTCCCGGGAAGCAGCCTGGAATGCTCACGGGCACGTGTCCGTGGACTCTCGCTGGGCGGGCAGGGGAGGAAACGCGTTTCACGGGGAGCGTCGCTCTTCGGGCTGCGGGCTGCAGGTCCGCCACCATCAAGTGTGGAAGAATGGGGAGCCCATGGGGGCCTCCTTGCTCCTGCCCTCGGGCAGGGGCCGTGGTGGGGGTTCCCGAGACCCCGCCCAGATTCGGCGGGTCACAGCTCGGGTTACCACCGCAAGGGGACACGAAGCAAAATCAGCAAAGGGGGCCTCGGCCTCTAAAGCAAATCCGAGCCGCGGCCACCGTGCTATTCGGGAAGCAGCACCGTGCGGCCGCTGGCAGCCGCGCTCGGCACGCCCTGAGCACGTGAGGCACCGCGGGGCGTCTCTCCAAAGCGTCTGTCCATCCCCCTGGAGGTGGGAGGGGGCGTCTCTCACGGGAGGAGGCTGTGTCCCCCGGGAACAATGGCGTTGATCGTGTTCCGAGATGGGGCTTCTCGGCTCTGCGTGTAATGATGGCGGTAAGTCACCCGAGAGCCCAGGGCACCGCGAGTCACCGCCCGGGCCCTGCCTGTGTTCCGCCCCGCAGCCCCCGCGCTCGACGTGGACTGGCAGAACAACACTACCTTCGCCTCCTGCAGCACGGACATGTGCATCCATGTCTGCAGGCTCAGCTGCGACCGCCCCGTGAAAACCTTCCAAGGACACACAGTAAGTGCGCGGCCCGCGGGGGCACGGGGGAGCCGTCCCCGCGTGGGCCTAGGGTTAGACGGCGCTGGGACGACAGACCCGCCCTCCGGCAGCCTTTGCTGCCTGGCCTGTGGTATCGGGTTGCCAAAAAGTCTGTTTTTTTTCCCATTCGCTGACTCTAGTAGCTCTTGGTTTGTGTTTAGTTTCAGTCAAAACAATTGTTAGAAGGTATTGTGACAGCTGTCCTATCAGCGGGCGTTTAAAGGAAAACAACGACGTACCAAAATAGGCGAATGTTTGAAGCCATTTTAATTTTAATATTGAAGGCGAAAGAAAATACGCGCAACCTTTTTGGTGTAGTATGCTTTATTATTTCAAGAAGGGTAAAAACCAACTGAATCGCCAAAAAGGATTGGCACAGGGTATGGCGAAGGTGCTGTGAGTGATCAGTCGTGTCAGAAGTGCTTTGCGCAGTTTCTTGGTACTGTTGATCTTTTGGCCCAAAAGTTCTTCGCTGTGGCGCTGCCTCATGCATTGGAAGATGTTTAGCCGAAGCCCTGGCCTCTTCCCGACTCGAAGCCAATAGCGGGAGGCAGCCGACGTACTCACAGTATCCAAATCAATGAAGTTATTGGTGAAAATGAAAAGGTGTCTTTTATTTGACGAGAAAAACGTAACAGACTTTGTGGCCCACCGAATCGTATCTCAGGTGGTTGGATTAACCCAGGTATGGGCAGGCCGGAGAGACTGGAAGGAGCTATTAGGCAAATGTACGAGGACATACACGAAAGGATGCTTGTCATGAGTGAACAGATAGGGAATATCGGCAAACAAAGGCAAACTGTATTGTTACACAGCAGTCCAAGGGAAATCTGAGAACGGAGAGGTTCACTGTCTGGAACAAAACGCTTCGTGCATGAGTTTCAGCGGCCGCGGGCCTGGCTGAGCCTGTCCGCACGTCAGCACGTCGCTGGGCAGCAGGCTGTCCTCCTGCATCCGCTTTCTCCTGCGCGTGTGCGTGCTCGCTCTCTCTCGCTCGCTCGCGCTCTCTCTCTCGGGCACGCGCGCACGTCACCCTCTCTGGTCCCAGCCCTTCACGGTGCCCTGACGCGCCCGGGGACCTCCCACCTGGACTGCAGGCGGCCTCCCTCCTCCCTCCTCTGTCCCTCCCTCTCAGGCCGTGGGCCCTTGGCTCCCCCGGGAACGCAGGTGTGGTGGCCTGTTCACTTCCCCTCCGCGTACCCTTCCAACCCCGGTGTCCGTAGCCGTCCGCACAACCGTAGAACATACCGTTCCCGCCAGAGCACGTGGAGCAGGAGTCAGGACGGGTGGTCCTGTCCTGGGCACACGGGACCCTGCAAGGAAGCCCCATCGCCGTCCCTCCTCAGCCCACCGAGCTCGGTGCGCCCTCCCCGCCTGCAGGCTGTGGGGCCCGTGTATAAACGGGTGGCCCTTCTGTCATGCCCACGGGGTGTAATTTCCCTCCCTGTCCCAGGACTTGGTCTCGGCCACCTGGCTCCTGGGCGTGGACGGCCGCCTGTAACCTTTCTGCCCGCTCCGCTGCCGTCCACCCGCCTGCCGGAACATTCCGCCGTGCCATGTGCCTGTGTTTTGTTTACTTGGCTGTTTGCTCTGGACGCCCCGGCCCCCCGGGATTTGTTGTCCCTGTGCGTGGAATCCCAGCAGTTCCCACTTACGCATCTCCCTTCCCTCGCACACCAGTTGGCCCGTGTGTGTTTCTTTCGGTGACGCTGCCTCTGGCCCAGGGAGCCCGGGTTGCACCTCACACGTGTCTTCTCTCTACGTTCCCCCGGTCCCTGCCTTGCATCACCGCTGAAAGGCAACTGTCTTGTATAAATTTAGAGACACCGAGTCATGAGAAGTAACTTCCAGTGTCAGTTTCAAAATCAGTGGACTCCTCTTGGTTTTGTGCATTGCGCTTCCTGTAGGTAAATTCCTGAGCTTCCTCATCGTGGGTTGTTTATTGGACAGATGTGGATGAGGGTGGCTGGTTTGGCGTGGTGTACGGCCGTGCTTTAGTATAAACGAGAAAGGCCGCGTGAGGAAAGGGGGACGCCGTGTGGGCCCCAGTGGCCTGCCTTGGCTGCCCAGGATAAGTGCGAGTAGACGCTGCGGGCGTGATGGAGCACTCCTGCCCCCTGCTGGATGGTTGTGGTACCTACACACGGGCCTTTTTGCTTTCCCTTTTTTTTTTTTTTTTTTTTCTTTTTAAAAAATGTTTTCATTTGATGACACATCCTGGATATCTCTACTGCTCGATAGATCTCTGTGCACGGGCCTTTCTTTTTAAAATCCTCTGCTCTCTTTCAGAACGAGGTCAATGCCATCAAGTGGGACCCTTCCGGAATGTTGCTAGCGTCCTGTTCCGACGACATGACGTTGAAGGTAGTGGGGTCTGGAAGGATGGGTTGCGTGACCCTGGGCAGCCCTGTGTAGTGAGTGCAGCTGGCGCGTTTGCTGCTGCTCTGGCCGATAACTTTGCTGGCTCTGCAAATGTTCCCCGTTGCTCCCCATGTTTCATCTGGGTAACTACTGCGGATGGGTCGAGGGTCGTGCTGAGAACCTCCCCTCCTCCGTGGCCCTCCCACGGGCGCGCCCCCCATTCCCCGCCCCGGGATTTCGCCCACCCCTCCGCCTGGGCAGCGGCCCGCCGGCCACCTCCCAAGGGCCGCAGACCTCCCACACGCTCACAGAACGACGGATGTCGCGCCCTTCCCAGCCGGAGACACGGCATTGGCTCACGTGGTTCCCAATGTGTTCTCTAGATCTGGAGTATGAAGCAGGACACGTGTGTTCATGACCTTCAAGCGCACAGCAAAGAGATATACACCATCAAGTGGAGTCCGACCGGGCCGGCCACCAGCAACCCCAACTCCAACATCATGCTGGCAAGGTAGGAGGGGGTCCCCTCAGGCGCGGCTCCTAAAAGCAGCCTTGCTCGAGGTGCCTGTAGGAGTTACTGTATCAAAGGGAACAGAAACATTACTCTGTAAAAGTTGCGTCCAGGAAATGTGACTTATGTTGAAAGGAACAGAAATATAGCCAGTGGCCATTATTTGTATCCAAGGAACAGAAAATCTTGCTAAGGTGTGACCTGGATGTGTGTACACCCTTCCAAACGCTACAAAGAATTGCTGGCCGTGAAGGGCCCTGTGAGCGAGCGCTCTCCAGGGCCACCCCAGGCCACGGGAGGGCCTGCTGCCCAGCAGGCTGGTGGGAGGATTGGTCACGTGCCTGGGCTCCCGGCACGTTGTGTTGTGAAGGTTTGCGTGACGACAGAGAAAGGAAAGCAGCGTTCGGCATGGCCGGCGGGGCTTGGTTCGCCGAGGTCGCCTCGGCGCTGCCGGTGGCCAGAATTTTGAGTGGCGGGTCAGGGTTCCCCAGTGGCAGCCAGATCTGACCAAACCACTGCCGCAGCAAAGCCCCGTAAGGCACGTGGCCTGCCGGCCCACCGCGGTGTCTGGTCCCCAGGCTCGTTGCCCCGCTTTCAGCACATAACATTATACTCTCGCCTCCTGTGTTTAAAAAGAACGTTGAGAAAAGTAAGCTGCGGAGATTCTGAGACCAAATGTTGGGAGGCTTAGGGGTCCGGGGTCCGGGATCCAAAGGCACAGGAGCGCGAGTGTCGCTGGCAGAGACGGGATTTGGGAGGAAGGTCGCGTTCCGAGGACGCGGCCGTGGGTCTGTTCTGTGTGGCGGCAGAAACGGGGATTGGGGGGGCGGGGGGGGGCACCGGGGACAGGTGGCCCGGTTCGTCGCCTAGGACTGTTGTTCCTGAAAGGGCTTGACCCAAGGCCGTTTCCAGAAAACCCTGGAAGGAGGGAGCCCGTGCAGCAGCTGAGAGGCTGAACGCCCAGAACGCAAAGGCCCCGTCCCCTTATTAGAAGCCATTGTCTGAAAACCCACTTAAATGGCTTGGAAGGTGGCCATTTTGTGTCAGGCGGTGCCCAATCTATCCGTTGTCCTTTCGGTCAGCAAGTGTGAAAAGGACATCGCAGTGTCCAGCCAGTCCCCATTGAGGGCAAGGACACCGAAGAACAGCTGAGTAATAGGTACTATTCTTCAGATTTGAAAAAGGACCAACCCTTGCAGCTCTTGGGCATATGACTGCATAGTTGCCTGCGATTGTATGTTAATTCCCAGTGCATCAAAGCTTTTATTTATTAATTGGCCATTTTTCCAACTATTTGGGTTGGTAACAATAAACATTTTAAGTTATGGGGGCCTTTTAAAAAACGTAGTAACTATGTCACAGATGTATATTTATTGTCCACATCGATGGGAAACGCAGAAACCAATGAACGTGCAGTCAGCGTTCCCCCAGTATCGGTGCCAAAGAAAAAGGAAAGGATTTGTCCTATAACTGTGGCTTGTTGTTGGTGTGCCGTGTCACATGGTAGACGTGGCAGATCGCGCCTGTTTATTGTCTCTGGAAACACAAAAGCCATGAGAGGAAACGCACGCGTGCGAGGTGGTAAATGTCTTGGGGAAGTGGAAGAAACCACCGCGTTTCCACGGTGCCATTTCCTCCCCGCTCTGCAGCGCGTCGTTCGATTCTACGGTCCGCCTGTGGGACGTGGAGCGCGGCGTGTGCATCCACACGCTCACCAAGCACCAGGAGCCTGTCTACAGCGTCGCGTTCAGCCCCGACGGGAAGTACCTGGCCAGCGGCTCCTTCGACAAGTGCGTGCATATCTGGAACACACAGGTAAATCCTCTGCTTCCTTTCTGAAAGCCCCACCCAATGTTGCATTTCGGTGACCAGGCTCGAAACAGCAGCAAGGGCGTTTGTGCTGAGGAGCGAGTCACTGAGACGGAGCCGTGGCGCAGCGCGGAGCCCCCAGGGGGCCGCAAATCTAACGCCGCCTGCCTCGTGCTCCGCGGGGGCCGGGTGTCTTCCCCTCGGGGACGGCCGCCGCGTTTTGTTAGTTTTCCTGAATCCCTGGCATGAAGCCCTCTCCCTGCCTCTTCCTGCTCTTGGGCATGAGCTACCACCTTGAAAAGCATCCCCAGTCCTCTGACCTGTAGAGTCCCCGCGGGTCCTGAGTCTGAGGCGAGAGGCATCATGGCATCGAACTCTGCAGGGGGCCAGCCGAGGGGGCAAGGCCCGCCCTGACCTCCGCCGCTCCCCATCCATCAGGCAGCCAGGTGGAGGGGACCAGGGAATGTTGGTTGGCTTTGTCAGGCCATTTAGATGTTTCTAATGAAAGCAGTTTTCGTCTGGGTAGCAACGGGGGTGTGGTCGGTGCTGGGTTGTCCTCTTGTCAGGCAGCACTTGAGTAAACGCAGCTGCGGATGGAAGGGAGAGTCCGCCAGAGCCGATGCAAATAGCCAGAGATCCGCTTTGTGTGAGCTCGGGATGGGGTGAACGGCTGCCCTGGGCGCTCTTCCTCCAGCACCTGTCCTGGGTCCTTGTGCCCGCGTGCACGGTCAGGTGCATTGCATTGAGCGCGCCCGCCCTGGTGGCAAGGGCGGGTGGGACAGCAGCCAGGGTGTGACCGCCTGGAGCAGGAGGAGGCGGGGCGGAGAGTCGGCGCTTCCGGGTCCGCCTCTCACAACCTAACCTGTCCCCTTGCGGACAGGGACAGGTGACAGTGGGCTTGACAGGTACCAGCCTGTCGCCCCGCAAACAGGCCACCGGGAAAACACCAGGAAGAGTGCGCAGCAGTCACTATGGAGGAAATGCTCAGTCGAAACAGTGATGGGTGGCACTAGCTGGCGTGGCTCAGCGGATTAAGCTTCAGCCTGCAACTCGAAAGGTCGCCAGTTCGATTCCCAGGCAGGGCACCTGTCCCCAGTTGGGGGCGGGCAAGAGGCAGCCAATCGATGGATCTCTCACACATTGATGTTTCTCTCCCTCTCTTTCTCCCTCCCTTCCCCTCTCTTAATCAACAAAATCTAAAAAAATTAAAAAGAGATGGGTAGATTGGTAAAGTGACGTCATAGAAAAATGATCAGAGGTCCCGCCTACCGTCAAACACGTTCACTTCTTTCACTCCTTGTTTATAAGTCACAAATCTCTTGGAGACAAAGCGCAGTCCGTTCTCAGAGAGACGGACGCCTTCCGTCAGTGTGTGGAAAACATGATATGGCGGGCGTGGTCCCTGCCTAGTCCCCCGCCACCTCAGGCCGCTCGCGCCATCGGCCTTGGCTGGGCACGGCAGGCGTGGGCTCAGGCGGACCGCGCACAGGCCTAGGGCCGCTCCCCACGCGTGGGAGGAAGCCCGAGAGACCATTTCCCCACCGCAGTGCTGCGTGGAAACCCTTTCCCGGAGTTTGAGGGCGTCCGTGGGGGCCCCCTGTGGGGGGAGGGGGCCGTCCGCCCCGCAGGGCAGGGCTGTGCCTGGCCCCCCCGCCCCCCGCACCGTCCGTGACGCCTGCTTTGCTTTGCAGAGTGGAAGCCTGGTCCACAGCTACCGAGGCACCGGCGGCATCTTCGAGGTGTGCTGGAACGCCCGAGGGGACAAAGTGGGCGCCAGCGCATCTGACGGCTCTGTAAGCAGCACCCACGGTTGGCTGGGGGTGGGGGGCGTGGGATGGCGAGGGGGAACGTGCTCACGTGACGCTGGGGGCCGTGGGAGGGCTGGCTGAGTGTGGGCAAAGCCCCCGCAGGTGCCCAAAGGCCGTGTGCTCGGGTTCCAGTTCTCATCTGCCCTGCCACTAGGTGGCGCCGTGACACTGGTGGCCGCCACCACATCAGTTCCCGGCAGGGCCCCCGACCTGGCTTTGTGCTATTTGCTCCCTGCTGTTTATTCGGGGTAGGGGTACATCGATGCTCAGCCACTTCCCTGCTGTTAGAGCTGCTCCGAATGTTCATGACTGTGTACCGATAAAACTTTATTTATAAAACACACTTGGTGGGCCGGTTTGGGTCCGTGCGTCCTATCACCGACCAGCCTGGGCGCTGGAGGCATCTTTGTGTTGTCTCTGAAGGTAACGCAGGCTCTCCCTTTCCTCGCAGGTCTGTGTGTTGGATCTGCGAAAGTAAACCGGCAACGTTGCGGAGCAAAGGAGAGAATTCCGATGGACCAGCAGTGAGCGTGGGGGGTGGCAGCATCCTTCAGACTCGATCCTGTCGGCTCCAGAACTGCGCGGCCGTGACGCGTGGGCGTGGACTTTGAAATCAACTCACCCCTGGCCACGGGAGCCTCTGTTTTTCCGTAGTCCTCATCACAACACACACACACACACACACACACACACACACACACAGCCCTACCCGAGGGGGAAGAGTGGGTTCCACCTGGGACGTTCAGCCGGACGAGCATAAGCCACCTGCTGGAGGGGACGCGGTGTGGTTCCCACCCCGGCAGGCTCTGATGGCTGAGACGGGAGGGGAAAGCAAGCTGTGCCAAAAAAGTCGAAGGAACGAGAAGCTGGGATCGACGGAAGGGGGGTAGAAAAGCTCCCCTCCGCGGGCTGCGTTTTGCCCCTGAGAGCTCAGACGCTGTGGCCGCTCTTGCGAAGGACGTTTGAAGACCCGTCTGTACGGATGAGACGCGCGACCTTGTAATCCGCACACGCCCGTTTCCCGGAGCCGCCTTTGTCCGGGCGCTTTTCCGTCGGTTGGAATCCTGGCGCCGGGGCCTTCCACCCACGATGGGGCTGGTTTCGCGCGGTTCCCCTTCCCGGGCCTTGCCTCTCCCCTCCACCTTTTCCCTCCGTTCCGTGTGGTCTTGATTTGCAGCCTCGGGGATACAATGACAAAAATTTTCGCCGGACAGCGTTCTTGCCCCGCCCCCCGCCCCCTGCTCACCATCCCTTTCTCATCGTTGGTTCCGATCTGAGGTCGCGGGGGCACTTCCAGCGCGTCGTAAGTGCTTTAGTAAAGGAAGAAGGCAGGGCAGGGGGACTTTTTACAGGAGAAAAAAAAAATGACTTATAAGAGAAAGAGCCCGGAGTATTTTTGGAAAAAAAAAATATTTTTATGTTAAAACAATTTTAAAATCCTGAAATGGCCATCAGACAGAGAGCTTCGTGCGGTTTCATATTTTAAAAATATTCTAGGAAGACAGGCAGAGTGTGAGGGAGTGAGTCCCGCTGCCTTCGGCTGCGTGGCCGTGCGGGGGGGCGGGCAGACCCGAGGGACGGCCGTGGAACAGTCTTCGGCGGGAGCGATGAGCCCCCTCCCCCCGAAATCTTGGCCGGAGGACAGGGTGGCATCTCCCGGCAGGTCTGCCTTTGGGCCACAGGAAGGAAAAGAAGACAGCTGTACTCTGACCCTGAGGGGTACCCGCAAACCCAGTGAGGCTGAGGAAGCCATCGAAACGGGCAGCTCGGCTCCGCATCACATCTTAGGGACATCTCTCACGGGGACCGTCCTGGCAGAAGTGGCTGACGGCCCCGGGGCCTCACCTGGCCGGACAGTAACAGACACGCACGGGGAAGGAACAGCCTTCGATCCTGAAGGTGAAGGGAAGGTAGAACGTCGCCGGTCACTTCCGCTGTCTCCATCCGTTGTTTCTCTGCCAAGAGACGAGATTTTCCTTTCCTTTTTTTTTTTTTTTTAACAATTTTTTACTGTTTTTAAACAATTAAACATGGCTTTGTGTTCCTACGGGAGTTCCCTTTCATTGGATCAGGTGACCTTTGGTCGTAAGCCAGCACTGACCTGTTTTAGACATTAGCCGTGGGAGGACCATCGAGTTCCATGTGCGGAGCAAAGGGCGGGAAGGGGCCGGGCCAGGTGCTGGCCGCACGCAGGGCGCAGACGCCGGTGTCCCGCTTCGAGACGGGACACCATTCAGAGGGCGGCATCCGTCCACGGAGCCGGAAACCCGCCGTCGGGGTGGGTGGGCGTGTCCGCCAGCCCCGGAGTGGGCCGGGGCCAGCTGCCGCGTCCCTGCCGCCCCCATCGCTGTTCAGCCATCGCTGGGCTCCCCGGCATCCGCGGACGCCGCGAGCCCTTGCCAGAGAAGACCGAAACTCTGTTTGCAAGCCGGGTGTTTCGTTCGGGCTGTTACCTGGCTCTCGGTGAAGGTCCACGTTGGATGCGCTCACGGCTTCCGCCTTGAAAGGCACCCTGCAGCCCGGCTGCGTCCATCGCTTCCTGCCCCGCGAAGTCATGGGTTTGGGACGCGGCTGGTGGAGGGACAGACGAACAGCATCCTGACCGCTCCCCAAAAAGAAATGTGCACATCTGGGCAGGGGGCATCTGCCCTCGAGGGTCCGCCTTTCGTCGGTGGTCAGGACTCGCGGGGGGCGGCTGGGACTGGACAATCCTCACAGGAAGGCTGGGAGCCGGGGTCTCGCGGACGTGGGGCCTGGGGAGGCACCCGAGCCTGTTGGCGGTGCTGAGTTCGGAGCTGAGGGCCGGGAGCCCCTGGACCACCTGGGCTCAGTCTCGTGCACGGCAGGGAACCCGGCAGGGGTGGCAGAAGACTGTCCACCGGCCCTGCTTTGTAATCACCGGGCCGTGGGAGAAGAGCCTACCGTGGCCCCCGGTGGGACCAAGGATAAGAACGCATCAGCGTTAGCCAGCAGGAGCCACCCTGTTCCGAGCCCAGTGACCGCCTGCGACGCTCACACGCCGGGGACACTTGTCTCCGCCAACTCGGCGCCCCTCTGTAACAACCGGTCCACGGGTACTGTGACTGCCCTTGTTTACAGCCCCTCAGCAGCGTGCGTGAGGCCGACGTGTCGGCGACCGCACGTCGGCGTGATCCCAAGAGCGCGCGTCGTCACAGGCCGAGCCTCCTGGCGCCGTCGGCCGGGAGGGGTGCGGAGCGCGCCCTGCACGCAGATGCCGCCCCGCGGAGCCAACCTCGCGGGGCCCCTGGGCCTGGACTCTCCTCCTGTCCTAGGTCGTGGAGCCGAGTGAAGTGCACTTTGTCACATGGAAGGGTCTGCTTTGTTCTGGTTCCTTTCCTCTTTTTCAACCTGTCCCCCCCCATTGTTTTTCTTTTTTTAAATCGTGTTTCTTGTCCAATGCAGAAATGTTCCTCCCGCCACTCACCGAGGTTTTGGATTCTGGCTTCTGCGGTTTTTATTGTCTGTGTCAGACGTACCGGCCAGATGTCCTTGTCCATCAGCACCTCCCGACGCCGTGCCGTCCACGTTGGCCCCGTTCTGTTCCCTCCACCCCGCTCACCCTCACGCGCTCCGACAAAAAGAACCACCTCGTGTGTCGTAGCTCATTTGTTTCGAAAGAGAATCAACAGATCATATTCAGTGTCTTGAATAAATTGCTCTATTTTGATATTAGACAACATGGTGGGCGTGCGTTCTTCGGCCCGCTCGGTCCCTGGGGGGCCCTCAGGTGTGCGGACGGCGTGTGTTCTCCAGAGGACGGCGACCCAAGGGCATCTCCCCAGGCTGCTGCGGCCACCCCAGAACCGGTGGCCGCACGGTGGCCGCGGCAGCGCCGGTGTTATAAACGGCCGTCGTGCTAAGGGAGCGTGTTTTCGAGTGTTTCTTCTCGTGCCGTCCCTTCAGGCCGGCTGCCGGAAGGCGTCAAGGGCGGGACGTGGTGTGTGTCCGTGGCCTGGCGGGGCTGGGGCTTTGGGCTCCAGGACTAGCCCACACGCTGCGGGACATGCAGTCCCCGGAGCGACCATGGGCGTGGATGGCCGCACCGTGATGCCGACTCCCGCTCAGCAAACACTGCACCCGCTCGGACCCGGACCGGGCTGGGTGCTCTCGCCGAGGCCGCGGTCATCGCTGCTGGGGGTGCCCCCGTCCCTTAGTCAGGGGGTCCTTTCCCTCAAGGTGTACAGCAACGGGGAGAGGGCTGCCCCCTCCCTGCCTCCTTTTGGTCCTGGTGCTGTCTGGGGTGCAGCCTGCCGGCTTCGGTGTTTCTGTAACCACTGCCCAGGGGATCCAGCCCGTCCCCATGGGGTGGGTTTGGGGTGCCCTCCAGGGCAGCCACAGTAGGTCCCGGGAGGACCCCGAGCACACGCTCCAGAGGTTCCCGGGGTGGGGGTATGTGGCTGTGGCTCCCCTGGCTTCAGCGACCGCCCTGGTAACGCGTGCACAGCTTTATGTGGGCTTCTTTGTGCCCCAGGGGAAAGTTCAGGACACATAGGTCGTTCTACATCCGTGTGACTTCAACCTTCACATGAGCTGGCACCCTGCTCTGCGGTGACTCTAATACGTTTTTCCTTTGTCCGTTGCGCTCAGCTTAATTTGATGTCTCTGGGGACTCTGTGCACTTGCTGAGCAGAGAGCTGTGTGTGAACTGTCCACAGCTCAGTGCTGTTCCTCACGGAGACTAAGAACGTTTTTCGTGTTCACGGGGAGCTCACACCTGCGGGGCTGGCTGTTGCTTAACCTGGGAATCCCTTTGGGAGCTGCACGGGCGGGTGGAGCACATGCACGCGCGCAGGAAATTCTCAGGACGTGGCCGCATGGTTCCCCCCCACCCCCGTCCAGCCCCCTTTTCGCCGACGCGTCCCGGCTACGTGCGAGGTAAGCCGGGCAGGAGGGCGGGCTGCACGGGGCCGAGGCGGCAGGGGCCCTGGGCCGAGGGCAGGGCTCCTCCTGGAGTGAACTCCGCAGACACGTGCGGTTCCCACACTGGCACGCGGGGGCTCTGAGGAGCCGCCATCGCCCCACGAAAGGCACGTCCGGAGGAAGGGGTCGGGGTGCTGCTCGGCCGTGGCCAGCAGACACAATGGGCGGGCGGCTACGTGGGCAGAGGGCGCGAGGGCCGACCCACTCGCAAGTGTCGGAGGGTGTGGTGAACTCGCCAGTAGGGTCCAGCGAAGGGGAGGCTACGCCGCCGGGGCGCCTTTCTCCCCAGGCTGCAAGCCAGTGCTCTGTCAGCCCAGCCCACCGAACTCGGCTCTTCAAGGACTTCCCCGCGCGGTTACGCGCCCCCATCCATCATCATCATCATCATCATCATCTTCATCTTCATCATGATCATCATCATCGTCGCCGCTTTCCCTGCTCTCAGCATCGCTGCAGGGACAGCCGTGCCTGCAGCGGAGCGGAAATCGCCTGAAGCTGAGCGTTCCGGTGTAGGCGTGTGCTCATTGTGTGTCTCTTGTCCCCCAGGCGGACGCGACCCCGCACGCCCCGGACGCTCAGGGGTGTCCCCAGTGCGTGGGCGCAGCACAGAGCGGCGAGGAACCGTGACCACGTCGTCGCACCCTCTGGCTCAGCTCACCGCTCTGCAACCCCACGAGCCGGCGGGTGGCTGGCACCCCCCGAGCAGGGGGCGTCGGAGCCGGTGACGGGACGGGGTGGCGTTCTTGTTGGCAAGCTTCCGACCTGGGCGCTGGCGGACGTCGGCCCAAGAGGACGTTAGGAAACCGGAGAGCCAGGGTTGCAGACCATGCAGGCAGGAGCAGCCCAAGTCAGGCCACGGGATGGGTCCCCTGCAGACGACGCAGGCACCGACGGCACTGGGCGTCGCCCGCGCCCGGACCGGGCCCCAGAGCGGCCGCGACACCGCAGTTGCCCTGCAGCCAAATCCGCGTGCCCACGGCCACGCCCTCTGCACACGTGCGCCCCCGAGGCCCACTCCCCTGCACACAGGCTTCTGAGTGAAAGATCAGGCGCATCTGATGGGCTCGGTCGGGCCCTGGGCCTGCCGTTAGGCGCAAGACGTGCTGGGAAAGCGGGCCGCTGCACTCTTTGCCTCGGCAGTGGGGGTGGGGCTGGCAGGGGTCCTGAAACAGCAGGGGCCTTGGATGCTGGGGCCACAGTGTCGGCACAGAGATGACAAACGCAGAAGCCACCCGGGAAAAGGACATGCCTTCACGCATCCCTGTCCCTTTGGGGACAGCTCCAAGTTTAGGAACGTGCAAGCCGGGGCACAGTGCCCTGGATCCGTCTGCAGCCGCAGCACCCCAAAAGTACAAGCCCAGAAGCACCCTGCAGAGCCTTCCTAGAGTGAAAGGAGGTCCTAATCTTGACTTAAAAGGTGTCACGTGGTGGAGCTTTCTGCAGCGTCCTCAGAAAATAGTATCTTGCTTTGCTAGGGAAACCTGGCTGGCTTGCAACTCCAATGCATGTCACGGTATTTCTGCCGAGATATTTTTTCAAGCGATGGAAAAATAGAGACCTAGGCAACGATGTGAGCATAAACCAGGTTCCAAAGATTCCTAAAACTGTCATTGCTCAGCACAGCGTGGGGACCAAACGCTGAATTCCTGCTCAAAGCTGCCTCTCCTGCGCCCTCTTGTGGCTCACTGAGAACAGGCAGCGACCGCGGGGACCAAAGGCTGAATTCCTGCTCAAAGCTGCGTCTTCTGCGCCCTCCAGTGCTTCGCTGAGAACTTGCAGCGCAGCGTGAGGACCAAAGGCTGAATTCCTGCTCCAAGCTGCCTCTTTGGCGCCCTCCAGTGGTGCACAAAGAACACGCAGCGCATTTTGCTGCCTTTTCGGCATCATCATTAACTTGACCAGAGAGCGTTTGCTCCAAGTGCTATTGAGACAGAATCCAAGGCAGACTGGGAGCTTGATTACAACGACTTTATTAACTTTCCCACGGACCTGGGCCTGGCATTACACGACAGCTGAGCATTTGGTCTAGAACAGCGATTTTGAACATTTTTCATCTCATGGCACACAAACTACTTAGTAAAATTCTGCAGCACACCAAAAATTCCTTTTTTTTTTCTGATTTGACAAAAAAATAGGTATAATTCTGATTCATTTATACCGGGTGGGTATCGTTTTGGCTGTTTTCATTGTTTTTATTTGGCAATCAAAGGGAAAAGAGGTCAGGGCCCCTGACTAAATAGTCAGATATTGCATGTGTTAAAAATTCTTGTGGCACACGGTTGAAAATCGCTGGCCTAGAAGGGATTCTCCCATTCCCAAGTGCATGCTCATGGGTCCTTTCTCTTAGCACATGGGTCATTGGGGACACACTCTAATGTAGTGGCAAGAGAGCAGAGATCAGAAAGTGAAAACACAATTCTAAAGAATGAGAAGTGTAGAGTGGAGGATATGGGGTTGGCACCCTGCCACATCCCTCTCACAGGTCTCCCTGGATTTTGGGGACAGATTCAGCTTCGTTCATGTGGCGGGACCCGCTTGCAATATGGATTTCGATGGTGCTGGTGTCGGAACCTGGAGAGGAAAAGAGAAAAGTGTGGTGCTGGTGTTCGTGTTCTGGACGCACTTCAGAAACATTGCGTTCAGGAGCGCGATCACAGTGCACGCTTGTGGTTGTCTGGCCACCTGCGCTCAGCCCCAGGAGGTTCCCAAGAGAGGGCGGCCACGCGCTTCAAACTAAGACACCTCCTGGTTGTCTTTTCATGGATGATGCCCTATAGGGGTCGGGAGAGTGGGAGGTGGGACATCAGTAGAATGAAAGCAAATGTTCTTCCTGCTAAGAGCCACCCTGGAGGGCTGCGTGATTGTTCCAAGGACAAGCCTTCCTTCAGAAGCTGAGGCATCCTTTGCCACGGGTGTCGGAATTGTTCCTCCCTTTACAGATACCCTGCCGGGGGCCAGGTTCTGGGTTGTGCCTGAGAACAGAGATGGAAGCCACAAACTGCGCCTGGCGCAAGGTGACTGTCCTTCATGGAAACTGCCAACATCCCGACGCCCTGCACTCAGGGACCTGGCTGACAACGGCAGCCTCCCCTCGTGTCCCTCGGGCACCCCGGCCTTGCACTGTCGTCCGCCCCAAGCTCACCCCTGCCTGCCACGGGCCATTGCACGTCTCCTTCTCTGCCTGCGAAACTCCTCTCCAGATTTTCTCATGGCTCCGTCCTGCAGGTCTCAGTTCCAATGTTACCTCATCCTCGGGGACGCGCCCAGGAGGCCCTACCCACCACCACCTTTCGCCCCCCTCCGATTTTTCTTTGTAGCCTCAGTACCTGGAATAGTATACACTTATTTGTGTTTTTTTAATAATCTGTGTCTGCGGGTAGAATGGAGAGTCTCAGTGTCTCTCCCAGTCATACCAGGAATGCCTCTCATGACACCCAGCCCACATTAGATGGTCAGTAAACACGCAAGTGACACGGGGAGTGGATCGGTACAGTCAGCTGGGTGACTTCACGTCTCTCAGACACAGCCTTGGTCCGTAACGTTGGAGTATGCAGAAAGCAAGACAAGCAAAATGTAAAAAGAAACAAGCAGGATTTTGGAGGACACTTCAGGGAGAAGAGGGCAGTGTTACGTGGAAATGATACATTGTGGCAATAGGTGAATGTGCTTAGAAGTGTGTGTGGATTCCTGAGTAAGCGGAAAAGGTGACGCTATCGCCGAGCAAACAGAATGGCGCGTACAACGCCTACAAGGGCGCGTTCAGAGAGCACTGCTCCGAGCTTGCTTCCAGGGCGGGATTAAGGCAAGTCCGGGAGAGCACCGTCTCAGTCCAAGCACGGGGACCAAGCGTGAGGGATCCCGCAAAGAGCGGGGGAGGCACTGGGCAGGCTCCGGCAGCCTGGGGGCAACAGTACCGACCTAAGGTCTTGCATTGGAGCAGTGCACCTGCTTTCCCTGGGGACCAGGACCCAGCTGGAAAGAAGTGCTGGCACGCTCCAAAACTCTCGATTCTCCCGGGTCCCCCACTGTTCATGAGGACATCCGGGGCTCGTGGGAACTCAGGTTTGCTTTCTGTCATATTTCCAAAAAGACACTGGGATGGAGTGTCATTTGGTGGCTTGCGGGAACAAAAAGGGGTCATGGGGCAGGAAAAACACTGCGAGGAAAAAGACATCGTGCGAGAGACAGGGGGCTTGTGACCCAAGAAACTACGGAAAAGAAGGGTCATGGATGCCTGGGGAGTTGTGGGAATGCCAAGGACTTGTGCGAAAGATAAAGGATTTGGGGTAAGAAATGGAATTGTGGGAGAAATAAGGAATTGTGGGAAATACAAGGGATTATGGGAAGAAAATGGAAGCGTAGGTGTGACGGGGGCTCGTGGGAGAGAAATGGGATTGTGAGAGGCACAAGGAATTATGGGGGAATTGAGATCGTAGATACCTGGGGAATTAGGGGTGAAATGAAGTCGCGGGTACCTGGGGAATTGAGGGAATAAAGGCTCATGGGAGTGAAATGGAAGCGTGGAAGGCAACGAATTATGGGAAAGGGAACAGGCTCTGACAGAAATGGAATTGTGGGAGAAAAAAGGGATTGTGGGAAGATGACGGACGCTTAGGCGTGACAAGGGATCATGGGAGTGAGATGGAATTGTGGGAGAAAAGAGGAATTGTGGGAAGAAGATGGACGCTTAGGCGTGACAAGGCATCATGGGAGTGAGATGGAATTGTGGGAGAAATAAGGGATTGTGGGAAGAAGATGGACGCTTAGGCGTGACAAGGGATCATGGGAGTGAGATGGAATTGTGGGAGAAAAGAGGGATTGTGGGAAGAAGATGGACGCTTAGGCGTGACAAGGGATCATGGGAGTGAGATGGAATTGTGGGAGAAAAGAGGGATTGTGGGAAGAAGACGGACGCTTAGCCGTGACAAGGGATCATGGGAGTGAGATGGAATTGTGGGAGAAAAGAGGGGTTGTGGGAAGAAAATGGACGCTTAGGCGTAACAAGGGATCATGGGAGTGAGATGGAATTGTGGGAGAAATGAGGGACTGTGGGAAAAAGACGGACGCGTAGGCGTGACAAGGAATCATGGGAATGAACTGGAATTGTGGGAGAAATGAAGGATTGTGGTGAAGAGAACAGGCCCTGAGAAAAACGGAATTGTGGGAGAACTAAGGATTGTCGGAAGAAGATGGACGTGTAGTTGTGACAGGGGATCATGGGAGTGAAATGGAATTGTGGGAGAAATGAGCGATTGTGGGAAAGAGAACCCCTAAGGGAACGAAATTTGAAGAAGGTACGGTAGGCTACAGAGGATCATGAGAATGAAATGAAATTGTGGGAGAAATGAGGGACTGTGGGAAAAAGACGGACGCGAAGGCGTGACAAGTGAATCATGGGAGCGAACTGGAATTGTGGGAGAAAGAAGGATTGTGGTGAAGAAGACGGACCAAACAGGATCATGGGAGTGAAATGGAATTGTGGGAGAAAAGAGGAATTGTGGGAAGAAGATGGACGCTTAGGCGTGACAAGGGACCATGGGAGTGAAATGGAATTGTGGGAGAAATAAAGGATTGTGGGAAAGAGAACAGGCCCTGACAGAAACGGAATTGTGGGAGAAATGAGGAATTGTGGGAAGAAGAGGGACGCTTAGGCGTGACAAGGGATCATGGGAGTGAAATGGAATTGTGGGAGAAATTAGCGATTGTGGGAAAGAGAACGGGCCCTAAAGGGACTGGGATTGTGGGAAGAAGATTGGACGAGTAGGCGGGATGGGGATCATGGGAATAAAATGGAATTCTGGGGGAAATAAGGGATTGTGGGAAGAAGCCGGACGCGAAGGCGTGAGGGAGGATCATGGGAGTGAAACAGCAATGTGGGAGGCAGGGAATTATGGGAAAGAGAACGGGCCCTGACAGAAACGGAATTGTGGGAGAAAAAAGGGATTGTGGGAAGAAGACGGACACGTAATTATGACAAGGGATCATGGGAGTGAAATGGAATTGTGGGTAATAAAGGGATTCTGGGAAAGAAAACAGGCCCTGAAGGAAACGGAATTGTGGGAAGAAGATAGGCGTAGGCGTGATGGAGGATCATGGGAGGGAAATGGAATGGTGGGAGAAATGAGCGATTGTGGGAAAGAGAACAGGTCCTGAAGGGAATGGGATTGTGGGAAGAAGAATGGACGAGTAGGCATGACAGAGGCTCATGAGAATGAAATGGAGTTATGGGAGAAATAAAGGATTGTGGGAAAAGAGAATGGGCCCTAACAGAAAAGGAATTGTGGGAGAAATGAGGGATTGTGGGAAAAAGATGGATGCGAAGGCGTGACAGTGGATCATGGGAGCGAAATGGAATTGTGGGAGAAAAAAGGGATTGTGGGAAGAAGACGGACACGTAATTATGACAGGGGATCATGGGAGTGAAATGGAATTGTGGGAGAAATTAGCGATTGTGGGAAAGAGAACGGGCCCTAAAGGGAATGGGATTGTGGGAAGAAGATTGGACGAGTAGGCGGGACGGGGATCATGGAAATAAAATGGAATTCTGGGGGAAATAAGGTATTGTGGGAAGAAGCCGGACGCGAAGGCGTGAGGGAGGATCATGGGAGTGAAACAGCAATGTGGGAGGCAGGGAATTATGGGAAAGAGAACGGGCCCTGACAGAAACGGAATTGTGGGAGAAAAAAAGGATTGTGGGAAGAAGACGGACACGTAATTATGACAAGGGATCATGGGAGTGAAATGGAATTGTGGGTGATAAAGGGATTTTGGGAAAGAAAACAGGCCCTGAAGGAAACGGAATTGTGGGAAGAAGATAGGCGTAGGCGTGATGGAAGATCATGGGAGTGAAATGGAATTGTGGGAGAAATAAGGGGTTGTGGGAAGAAGATGAACGTTTAGGCATGATAAGGGATCATGGGAGTGAACTGGAATTGTGGGAGAAAAAGGGATTCTGGGAACGAGGACAGGCACTGAAGGAAACGGAAGTGTGGGAGAAGTAAAGAATTGTGGGAAGAAGACGGATGAATAAGCGTGACGGGGAATTATGGGAGAGAAATGAGGGATTGTGGGAAAGAGAACGGACCCTGAAAGGAATGGGATTGTGGGAAGAAGATTGGACGAGTAGGCGGGACGGGGATCATGGGAATAAAATGGAATTCTGGGGGAAATAAGGTATTGTGGGAAGAAGCCGGACGCGAAGGTGTGATAGAGGATCATGGGAGTGAAATAGCCATGTGGGAGACAGGGAATTATGGGAAAGAGAACGGGCCCTGACAGAAACGGAATTGTGGGAGAAATGTGGGATTGTGGGAAAAAGATGGATGCGTAGGCGTGACAGTGGATCATGGGAGCGAAATGGAATTGTGGGAGAAATCAAGGATTGTGGGAAAGAGAACAGGCCCTGACAGAAACGGAATTGTGGGAAGAAGATAGGCGCAGGCAGGCGTGATGGAGGATCATGGGAGTGAAATGGAATTGTGGGAGAAATAAGGGGTTGTGGGAAGAAGACGGAAGCGTAGGTGTAGAGACGGAATTATGGGAAAGAAACGGGCCCTGAAGAAAACAGAATT